TTTGGTTGCCTGCATAAAACAGAAACACTGTTTCTGATCAGAGACTTCTCTAGTGGTATTAACCCATTACAAATGAAGCAGGTATTTCTGGACGGAAACAGAATCATCACTAAGTCTGTCCTTGTCCACTGTAAGGCAGCCTCCGTATGTGCCACTGGCAACGGCAACTGAATGCATTTTTGCTGCCCAGTTGTCTATCAAAATGATTTTATCCTGTAAGGATACAACACACTACTTGTCAAATATCTTCAGTAGATGACATCTCAGGAATGAGCAGCCTGTCCTCACAGAGACAAGTGTGCTTTCTCCTCATATTTACCTAAATTAGTAATCAAAACTCAGCATTTTATTTATTTCTATTTTCATTTCTATGTTTACGTTAAATGGAAACTCCCATGACCCAGGGGATTCTATAGCTGCTCATGGGGGGAACCCAAAGCCAGACAATTGTCACACTGCACCACCTCTGCCTGTGTTTGCCTTGTTGTTCTATTAGTTTTCAGACTTTCTATTCTGCTTAGAGGATTTATTAGAATTTCCAATTTTCATCGTATTTAAGAACATCAGTTTTCTCTTAATGACAAGGGCAATTGAAGAATACATTTTGATTGTATGAATCATTGCATCATTCTCTGGATATATTGTGTTCACATGAATCATTGTATTATTTTTTCTCTCCCCATGTGCTGGCACCTGTGCTCAGGAATCAAAGGGCACAGAGACACAGGACGAAGACAGGCGGCTACATCAGGTGAGACACAGCAATCGAACATCTTGGCTAAAACCAGGTCTTGGCAGGACATCTGTTGAAGATTTAACTTCATTCATTTTCTCCAAATTCACGATTTCATTCAGCGATTAATAGTCCATGTTCAGGCAGAGATGGAAAAATGATTGATCTCTAATGTCAAAAATAGTTGGGCACAGACCTTTCTGCATTTCAGGGTCTGTGACTGTGACATGAAACTCTAGCATTTTACTAGAGAGGAAAATGTGTCTCTTTGATCAAAGTCCCCACTGTTTAAATGCAGGACACTGAGTACTAGAAGGGGAGACAGGCTGTCACCATCAAGCAAGTTCTAATAATAAACTTTCAGGCATGAAGGATGGAAGCATTCCATAACGTTAATTCATGACATTGTTTATGAGCTTATGTTCGCCCCATTCATGGGGAAAAAAAACCCCTAAGGGTGTTAATATTGCACAAACTGCATAAATTAAACTTCTGCAGTAGGTGCTTGCCTCTTGACAGTGCTGAAATGATAGCAGGTAAAGGTGTGATGCTTTGGAACTAACTCAAGTGACCTTTCCAGGTGTGTAAATTCTAAGCCCGCCTATTGTAATTATATTTGATGGATGGACAGATATTGCAAACACAGGAATTGAATGCAAATAAAGTCAATGTAGACTTTATACAAAAATATTCTAGCATCACAGCATATAATTTGCAGAAACAGCAGTTAAGCTTCCAGAATAAGACCATGTAAAGAGGAACAACTTGTTAGGAGAAGCAGGACAAGTAAGATGTGATAAGAAAATCGTGCTTGTCCATTTGAAATCATTACAGGTAACATGATACATCGCACACAGTAAATATTTACCAAGATGTGATGACAATGACATGATCTTTTATCACCATAACATGCTGCAATTTGAACATTATTTCCCCCCACCCCGCCCCCAGGCAAATTGTCCTTTTTTGCAAGTGGATCTGTAACCCAGGGGCTTGGCACGTGGCTAGTATCTGACTAGATGTTTGAGGTGTTCCTGCTTATACAATAGGTCTCACTTTGATTCCTGATTTACCTAATGGGCTACAGAAAAAAGGGTGGTGTTGGTTGTTTTTATTTTTTAAAAACCTTATCCATAGACAGCAAAGAGAAACAACAAAAGCTACACTCTATAACTTGGTTTTAAAACAATACCAGTTGGCAGCTGCTATTAGATCTATTTAAAAGGAAAAAGCAAACAACCATCAAACAAAAATATAACAAAACAAAATCCCAAGATTTGATTCGACTCCTCACACAGGTTTGTAGGACTGGACTCTTCACCAGAGCTGAAATGTCAGATTGCTCTAGAGATTAAGGACTAGGGAAGATAATTGAGGATAATGATAATTACAGCTAAGACTATTTATAGGCTTGTGGAAAGCACAGTGAAGGGGAAGTTTGTTGCAAGCAACGCCTTCCCACAGAAGTAGGGGGAAAGGAGTAGGTCCCCGTTTTTCACGCAGGACCTGGAGGCTCTGAGAGATTGTTGTGGCAATAACACTAGGACATTCTCAAGTCGAAGAGTCTGCATGCTGTTAAATAATAAGTCCAGGCATATTAAAAAAATTTAAACATTTACTTGAGCATTTATACGAATCAGGCAGCACCAAACGAGAAGTGTTCAGGAGCCAAGGTAAAGACTTTATAGAGACAGTGCCTAAGCAGAGAAAGGGAGTTGTTGGTTGGGTACAGCTTAAAAGCTTGTTGGCTGGTTGTGATTGTCCTCAGCAATTTGATTTCAGAGCCCTGAGGTAGTTACAGTGTAGATTTTGATTCTTTCCTATATACCTAGACCATATTATTGTCATCACAGCTGAATGAATTACATATGAAAAGGTGCTTTTGATTAGAAACTCCAGGGATCAGACTGCCAGACATTTTGGAAATCAAGACATGGAAGTTTCTTTTGTGACAGGCACCTTAAGATATCTGAAAAAACAATCAAAGAAAGAAAGAACACCCTATTTTCATAATATCATCATTTTGAGCCACACTGCTCCATTGATACACAGAAGATGAGTATCTCAAGTGTGGAGAAGAATAAAAGAATGTTTCACCTCTATGGTGCTTTAAAGAAACTCACGGTTTATCTTTTTAAAAATTTTCACTTGGAACAGAAACTCTTTTTAAAAATTATTCAAGAACTCTTGTGCAATGTAACCCAGCGGCATGTTATTTCATGAGAAAGTACTTGTTCTTGGGGGTCATCCCTCCTCTCTATTTCAGCACATGTCATTCATGCATAATTTATGTGTATCATTTATATTTGCATATGGTAATAAGGAAGATGTTTGTGTATGTAAAAACAGATCAAGTCACATGTACAGATGTAATTAAAGAATGTTGTTCTTTAAACACAACTTTAAAATAGATTCTATAAAACCATTGCTCCATTCCCCCAATATTGTTCTGGGAAGCATAGCAAATATTAAATAACCATTTTAAATTGTGGAGTAGATAAGCATTTGGGGGATTAGATATCCTCTTTGTGGCATATTCTTCCCTTGCAAATGAATAAGTATACATTTAATTTTATATCTCAGGAAAACTCAAAGTTGCTGGTTTTTATCTTCCTCCTGTTTTTATTGTTAACCTGATTTTTGCTTATAGTGGAAAAACTAAAAACTAGAGGTAGGCTATTGATCTAGGGGGCTGTCAAAGTGACCTCATTTTGTGTAGCAAGCAATGGATGCACAATGACATCTAATATAAAAAATAAGCAAAAGATGAATATTCATTATATGTCTTATTGATGGAAAAGGTTCCTGAATCAGTCTACATCACAGACTGGTCATTCATAAGGTGAAATGTAATTTCAAAAGTGATGCTAGTATAACACTTTTTTGACATCCTCTACCTGAAGTTACTGACAAAATGAATAATTTCAAACAGGAATATAACACTTGTAAAATAACCCAAAGGCTGAAAAGGAGAGTGAGCAAGCATATTGCACCAGTCAATTCCTTTCAGCTCCATGATCTCACTGTGAGAAAGAGTTGCTAGCAGCCATTAGGCTCTCAAGTCAAGCTCTTTAGGATTGTGGGTGATACTACCTCTTCAGATTTATCCCTCAAACCTTTCACATTCTTATAAGCAGTAGGATGTGGTAATTTACAAATAGGTTGCGTGTGTGTGTGTAGAACTACATGCTGACATTACCTACAGTTGTTTTACATCTCACATGTCCTAAACATTAATACATTTTAACACATTAACTTCATCTGATTCATTATGTATGAACTTCAAATGATGCATTATGAACTTCAAATGATGCATTATGTATGAATGACATGCACTAGGATAGAGAGTGGGAATGACCCCCAAGAACAAGTAGCTTCTCATTTTGGAGTGAAACAACATTCCACTGGGTTACATTCAACAAAAGACATGATAATTTTTTTTTTAAGATTCATTTATTCATGCATACAAGAGCTGGGTACAGGCCAGAGGTGAGGGGGGTGAGAGGATACACCAGAGACAGAGTGGGGAGCAGAACAGGCAGATCTACTGAAATACACTGCTGAGGGGAGCAGCGGGCGAGACAGGAGAGGTCTGCCATGCCATGTGGGTATCTCCACATGGCCGAAATCGAACCTGCACTGCAGAGACTGCGGACAGCTTCACAGTTCTACGCTTAACCACGTGAGCCTCATGGGAGGCCCTAAAGCATTTCTTTTTTAAGCACTGTCACTCCTTTTTCTAATAAGAACTTTGTATATATTTGTGCAACTTCTTGGGAATCTCTTCCCTACATTCTTTATCTGATTAACTCCTGTAGTGGTTATATGTCCCTGTCTACTTAATATCTGTGGTGGTTAATTTTATAAGACAATTTACTGGGCTAAGGAATGCCCACAGAACTGGTAAAACATTATTCCTTGGTATGTTTATGAAGGTATTTCTCAAAGATTACCATACAGCTTTATAATAAGGCTTGAATTCTGAAAGTTTGAGTCTTTCCAAAATTGGGCTGCTTATTCTTGCTCATTTAAAAATCATTTAAAGTCATTTAGTTGATTCTAGAAGCTTCTCTATAGGTTCTTTTATATTTTATGTATAGATCAATTTATCCTTTCCAATCAGAACTTACCCCTCCTCCCCCATTTTCCCTTGCCTGAATACACACTGCATTAAAGAATACAGGCTGGCAAATTTGTATATGAAAGATGCTCAACATCTTATATACCTGGGAAATACAAAATAAAGCAACGAGATGCTGTTATATACCTGTTAGAATAGGCAATATCCAACGCACTGTCAACACCAAACAATGGAGAGAATGAAGAGGGTCAGGAACTCCCATTCATTACTGCAAAAAAAAAAAAAAAATGGTGAGGCCAGTTTAGAGTCAGCTTGACAGTTTCTTACAAAACTAAACATACTCTTATGACACAATTCAGCAGTCATGCCATTTGATATTTAATTCAGATAAGTTGAAATTTTATGTCCACAGAAATACAGACACATGATGTCTCTAGCAGCTTAGTTCATAGTGTCAAAAATTGGAACCAACCAAGATGCTCTTGAACAGGTAAAAAGATGAATTAACTGTGGTGCATCAGGACAAAGGAATATTATTCAACACTAAATAGAAATGAGTTATTAAGTCATGAAGAGACAAGGAGGAAACTTCAGTGCTTGTAGTTAAGTGAAAGAAGCCAATCTCAAAAGGCTATAAGAATCCAACTAAATGACATTCTGGAAAAGACAAAGCTATAGGGGCAATGCTCACCAGGAATTGGGGGATAGAGGGGTGACTTATTGAGCAGAGAGAATTTTAAGAGTAATAAGACTATCCTATAAGGATGAATATATGTTAAAATACATTTGTAAAGTCCCATAGTATGTACACTAAGAATGAACCCTAATGTAAACTATGGCCTCTGGTGATAACTATGTGTCACTGGAGTCCATCAATAGTACAATGGGGGCCTCTCTGGTGGCACAAGGGGTTAGGTCTTAGCACTATGAAGCTATCTGCAGCCACTGCAGCACAAGTTCGATGCCCAGGCAGGGAGCTACCCACATGGCGCAGCAGACCTCTGCTGTCTTGCCTGCTGCTCCCCTCAGCAGTGGATTTCAGTCAATCTGCTTGTTCTGCTCCCCATTCTGTCTCTGGTGAATGCTCTCACCACTAGCCCTCCCCCGCCCCCCCACTCACACTCCTCTGGCCTACACTCCAGGTCTTATATGCATAAATAAATAAAAATCTTTAAAAAAAATAGTACAATGGCCACTTTGGTGGGAGATGTTGCTGCCAGGGGCTGGGGAAGGGGTTATTTGAGAACTTTTTTCTCTATGCTTAGTTCTGCTGCGAAACTAAAACAGCTCTTAACAAATGAAATCTATTCAAAAAGTGTTGATTCTGCTGTTGTGGGTTGGAATTTTCTATAAATGTCGATTAAGCTTTCTCTGTGTCTCTGCCTCTCCTTTTCATGGCAGCTAAATTTTGACATGTAAATGCAGCAAGTCTTGAGCAGTTCTTTTTGGCGGCCCTTCTGTCTGCAGTAGGATACGTCTTGTGAAATTTATCTTGGATCCTCCCTTCGTGAGTTTCTTGCTCCTTCACTTTTCCCCAAGACCTTTATGTAGCACAAAATCCACCCCTCAGTGTAAACTTGAGACTCTGGAGAATCACCTGAGCAGGGAGGGTGGGCAGGGCTTTGTGCCTTCCCTGTTCAGGGGGACATGCTCCTCCACACTTCTGCCGAGGGAACAGCTGTGTGTGCACCCTAAGTAAGGGTAGGAGGGTGAAATTCCCTTTCCCATTTTAAAAAATCACTTTCTTCATAAGTAGTTAAATTTTCTCCCTTATGTCTTCTTCTACATTCTATTTTTGCACTCACAATACATCTTTCTTCCTTTGGGTACCTGGAATTTAGCATTCATTTCCAGGAATGTTCTTATTTTTTCTTCCATTTCTATCATTTACTATTTACATATTACATTTACTTCCATCATTTACTATTGTAAGTGTTTCTGATGTTATGCTGTAGTTCCTGAGATGTGACATTTGTGGTGTGCTTTTTATTATATCTGTAATATCTGTAATTATTTTTAATTAATACTGGAATGTGTATTAATTGCATTTTTTATTTATTTCACTACTGTAACATTTTTTATTTCACTACTGTTTCCTCCAGTTTGATTTTGTATGTCATGAAAGTTACTGAGATTTTGTTGCTGCTATGCTTATCTTTATTCACTTGATTGTATAATTTTTTCCCTACCCTAGTTACACCCAAGACATCAACATTAGGTGATTTCTATTTGCTTCTTATTATGCTAAATGGTCTTCAATAAAGGGGGAGATTTTAATACAGGTGGCTGTCATTGACAGAAAACTAGAGACCTTCAATTGGCCATCTATGATCTATTTGGGCTCTATAAATTGTTGTATATGTTTATATGAATTGATTTAAGGCATTTAAATTAGGATTTCTAAATTCTAAATTCTAAATTAGGATCTCTCCAAAATTTATAATTATCTTATAACATACATGATTCTGTCTTTGCTATTGTTATTTGTTTATGTTCAATGCTTTAAATTCAATCTATGTTTAATTTTAAAACATTTATTTTGATCAGCAATATAACCACCACTATGGTTCTGTTCATTACAAAACTTTCCTAATCCCTCTAGTGCTATTAAGCAGCACAGTGCTTGAAACACTCTTAGGAGATACATATTTTATTATCTTGTCAGATTTATTTAAAATACAAGATTACAGACTCTTCATGGAACAAGTTTTTAACTTTTTCTATCACTGGCTTTGTGCCGGGCACTCAACAGGTGTTCAAAAATGAATGAATATTACATGTTTTGAATAAGTGACTCAAAATTGAACCGTAGATCCACTTTAAAGTTGAGTTATAAAAAAAAAATAAGCATTTGTTAAAGTCCATCCCAAAACTGCTTATGTAGGGCACTTCTGATTTATACCCACATTTCATTTTCCTTTGTCTGAGACTGAACTTTCTCTAAAGGAAATATTGTCCCACAAGACCATGCCCAGTCAGTCTGGACTCAACCCCGGTGGCATCGGCATTAAAATGGAAAGCCCAGGGCAAATGTCATTTTGTATCAAATTCAGCATCAAATTTAAAAGACATCTAAGCACATCCACAAAGGTGAGGTCTTTGCCTAATTCTCCCTTAGGTGGCTGATATTTATACCACGCTGCACAAGTCGGAGAGTGATTTTCACTTTAGCCCATCACGTTGTATTGGAAAGACACTCTTTAGCCAGGAGAGAAAACAGGGTCCACAGAGAACATCATTCCTGAAATGGCAAGAGAGCGCCACAGTCGTGATTCAGAGACATACTGATGGCATGTCCTGCCCAGGCAAGCATAATATAAAGCCAGAATTAAATGGTTTAATACCACTTACTCTCACCTCGTTTCCCAAGGGGGGAAAAATAAATCTCATATTCTCTGCATTTCTTAAAGAGAAATTTTCTGCAAGTCTGTGCAGACCAATTAGTCACCTGAGATAATAAGAATAGATGCTTGTTTTGGCCACCAGCACAGGCCAGGTTCTCTATCAATTCAAGCAGACTTGTCAAGGTGAGTCAGTCGCTTTCGCAGGCCTTAGTGATCTAAGTCAATTGTAGTGGGGCAACCAGGTGCAGGGCAGGCAGAGGGGGCAGGAGCCGGGAGGCTGGCAGGCCTCCCACACCCCCGCAGGATATTTACTTTTTTGTTGGGTTCTCTCTGGTGTTCTGTCCTGGTCTCTCCCTCTCATAGCTTTAGCTCATCCTCCCGCAGCCGTTCTCCACTGCAGCCGTCCTCTGTGTGACGCCGCCCTTGTAGCCTCAGCCTCCAGGCTCAGGTGTGCATACTCATGCATGCACGCACCACTCGCCAGGTGTCCACCATCAGGCATGTGTGCCCCGAGCCCTCGCCCCCAAGCGCCTCCTGCATTCAAGGCTGCAGGAGATAGCTACGGAGGCCAACAGCAAAAAGTCTAAGCATCGCTTACCCTACAATGCCAAAGTTCCCGAATACTAGTTATCCTTATCAAAACATTTCTATGGAAGCATCAAAAGTTATTTCATCGCTCCTCTGAAGAGCTGATGCTATGAGGACTAATTGTGGACAGGTGGGAGTCATCGATGAAAAATGTTCCTCATCACTCTGGTCACGTTGCCATTAATTCTGAATCGTGCAATTTCTAAGGAAAAAAAAAATGTACTCAGACCACCTGCAGTTGGACAAGTTTGTTTTAATGTAGGTTTATCTTGATTTTTGCCACAGATCATTACACTGATGTAAAAATGTTGTTTATCTTTAGGGCCTAATACGTAGCTTGAGATAGATGTAGGAAAGGTTTAGTGCATTTGTTTAAGAGCAGGCAAGTAAATAAGTGAATATACTCTGTCCAAGGATCTATTATTGTCAATTATTTTGTTTCTGATGTTTTATCAGAACTCTGGTGTACTTTAAGGAGTTGAAATGGTTTAAATTACTTTATCCCAGCATGCTTTATTTGCTCTGTTACTTCCTAGCCATTTTAATTGAGGATAAAACTTCAAATTGTATTCCAATGTGTCCATTACCAGTGTACTGTTTTCCTAGTCAATCCATATTGCTACTGTTTTTGCATTCCAATGTAATCCATTATTACCACTTGGCTAAGCAAACATAGTTGGGTGGTAATGAATGAAGTTTCCATATTTATGAATAAACTTGGCTGTGGTGCCACTCTTTGAAACATTGTAAGACAGAGGGAATCTGATCAAAATTCTGCCCACTATTCCAGCATCACAAAAATATATAAATGTTATAGTGAAATATTAGGGCCAATTCCATATTGCTAAATCCCTTTGCTGTTATTATTAAATGTAAAGTAACATGAGATAAGGTAAAGTGATAAATAAGTTTAGACACAATCATTCAATATCTCCTGCCTAAAATTTATTCTGACTTAAAATGTTCATATGGCCTTATCAGAAACTTAGAAAATAAATTTGAATAATCATAGGCTATTGGAATTTGAGTATGGAATTCCATATGATACTATATGAAATTTCATGAGATAGGATATGAAATAGCTAGCCCTGCTAATTTTTCTCTGGATTTAGTTTCTCAGTAGTAAAGAATTTTAATGTGATAAATCATCAAATATAAAGGTTAAATTTCATTTTCAAGATCTAGGATCCTGGTTCAGTAATTCCATAATTTTTTTGTTTTTATTCTATTGCACTTCAACTACTGAAAATCATTTGAATGTAAAATCTCCAATCCTATTGTAAGTCTATGAGTATAACATAATGACTTCTTCATTCTAGAT